TTCTTTTTTTGAATTAATTAATTAATATATTTTTTGTTATAATTATTCTTTTTTTACTTATATATATATATATATATATATAATTTGTTTGTTTTATTATTTTTTTTTTTATAAATATACATATATATATATATATACTCTTTTTGTTTATAAAAATAAATAAAATAAAATTAAATAATAAATTACATTTTTTTTTTTTTTTTTTTTTTGCATTGCATGTAAAATGCTTACGTGAAGAAATATTAATAATGGTTCGATGAATAAATTATTATTTGTACATGTTGCTATCAATGTTTTATTCTCATATGATTTTACCATTTGTGTTCATTATAGAAAGTAAATTGTTGTTAATAAACAACAAATATGTGAATTATCCCAATCTCAACCAATATCGAATAATTTCTTTTTATATTTTATATAATATTTTTGAGTTTAAAAAATTTATTGCGATGACAACTTGTTACTAAAAAATTAGTAAAAAAAGAATATATCGTCATCACTATGGATTATAATCACGGTCAATTGAATTGATAATCATATCTTTCCACTTCGAAACTTCCTGACTCTAAAAGTTCGTTTATTCTAATAATTACAGCGTGAGCAATATATGGGAACCCTGCTTGTCGGTGTGTCATTTAGCAAAAAGAAACGAAAGAAATTCGATATTAAAGGATTCAAAACACAAAGAGATTAAATTTAAACAGGAAATCTGTGTATATATGCACACAATCGGCCAATTCTTCAGACTTTTGGAATATGAAGATTGTGTTTTTATTATCGATATCTGTTCCGCCATTAATAGTGATGTGACTTATGACACTGCCTCTGCGATGTTATTTCATCCTTTGTTTGCAGTGCTAAAAACCGAATCGTTCTGCTGTATGATTAGGGCAGGACCATCAGTCTTCTTCATTTTAAGAGCCTCGAGAACCAGATCAACTGTCTTCATTTTGTAAAATTGTTGTAAACTAATCTAAACATATACATTGGCGATGGTGGTGGTGATTAGCCTTCAAACGTTTATACACACACGTATGAAAATATTAGTCACCATCATAGTTTTTGAAAGTTTTGGAAAGAAAAAAAAATGATTGATTCACCAGATTTATGCATTTGCATAATTCGTAATTTGATTTGGTATAGTCACACCACTTATTATACGGGGTAAGATTTCAGGGATCAATATTTAGTCATTTGTAATGTGATCATAATTAACAGTTTTTATAATATCCCATTTGTTATCTTAAGTGATATATAGAACTATCCCTACACCAAAATAATAATATGAAGTTGATTTATATCAGATCTATTACAATGGAACCCAAGAATTATAGTACTATCAGAAGTATTCTAAAGAGGAACAAGGGAAAAGATTGCTCCTTAGATTTTCAAAATAAATGATACTTGAAGCTTATCTAAGAAAAGAAAATATTACCTATGAAATTTACCAAGAAGAAAGAAAAATAATAAATGTTGGAAAAAGAAAGTATCATAGATGATTAATTTTTTCTTCTAAACTCTTTATCTTATCTAATAGCCCCTATTTTTGCTTTTTACTTCACTCTTCTGATTTTTCCTGAAATTTGGCTACTTCTTCTCTTTCAATTTTTAATTCTTCTTTGGTAATTGATAACTCTTTTTCTAGTTCCCTAGTTTTATTTTCTAGGCGAAAACTGAAAGCTTGTGAAAGTAGTTCTTTGTCAGAAAGTGGTTTAGTTGATTTAGCTTTTAAATGACTACAAAAACATCTGTTTCTATTCCTTTTTAACCTACCACATTTCTCACATCATGGAAGAGTATTATTATCATAATCTTTTTTACATTCACCACAGATAAAGACAATGTCAGAATAACCATCAGGAGTATTACGAGCCACCATTTGATGAGTAGCAGGAGCAGTATCAAAATTAAGGAGAGTTGGGTCATCAAAATCTAGAAAGCAGAAGTTACACTCTTGTTCATCTCCCTGGGCTATTTCCAGAATTCTATATTCTAATCTCATATTGGCTTACTTGTTCTTTTGAACAATAAAAGTCTGGAACTTCTCTTTAGTTTTTTCTTTTACCTTATTTACTAATTTTTTGAGTTTGCATAATCTATTTTCTTTTTGTTTCTTTGGTAAAAATGGTAATTCTTTAGTTGCTAAATAATCTTTTCGGTTTATTTCCTGATTTTTAGCAGCTAAATTATTCTCTAATAAATCTATTCGGTCTTGAAGTTTACCCATTGCAGCATCTTGCTTCAACAAAGTTTCAAACATTTGTCATTTTCTCCATTCCATGGCTTTATTTAGTGCTTTTTCAGCCTCTTCTCGCTCCATTCATACTTCATCATCTAACTCTTCTACTCTTGTTTCCAATTCCTCCTTTTTTGCTTCCAACTCTGCTATCTTCTCTTCATAATCTCTCTTTTGTTGATCAATTGATTATTTAAATTGCTTATTCTAGAATAGCTTCCAGCATAACTATCACCTAATTCATTTGAACTTTCAATAAATCCCTCTAACATTTCTTCAATAGTAATGTTATCAAATCAAATTCTTTTGCAATTTTTGGCTCATTCTCTGGTCTCATTAGGATCTACTGCCATTCTAAGTTTATCTTCATCCATCCATTTTTTGTTTAATTTTTTGTACCATCATGTTCCCCTAGGAGCATACATGCCAACCTCACCATTTTCATCAATAGACTGACCAGTGACATGTCAGATTTTTAGTTTAAGATTTTCTTCTTTATCTGCTAATTGCTTCTTTAAATTTTCATTTTCTTCTATCAGTTTTTTATTATTTTCTTGGAGTTCACTTATAATGTTTGTCATGACTTTCTTTTTATTACCTTTTTTTTTTGTTTATTTTTTTAATATAATTAAGTTATATAAATCATTTTAGTACTTTTTTACTTTAAAGGTGGAAAAAGCTAACAATATTTGTCAAAAGTTTATTAAACTTAATGACAGTAAAGGCAAATTAATTAGTGATGGAGGTGATTTTATTCTGAATATTTTATTTGTTACCAATATAGAATGGTCTTGGACAAGTAATATCTTTGTATTCATCTTTTACAAATGGGCGAATATTCTGGTAAAGATATTCTTGTCTTTTGTAATCCAAAGGAGGTGGTGTTAACACTAAAATAAATAAAGCTCTAATTTCTTCAAAAATATCTGCTTTCTTGGTTTTCAATAAATTGAATACAGCAAAAGGTCCATTAGCAACTTCTTGAACTTTGACCATGCCAAGATTAGTTGCTTCAAAAAGAAAATGTTGATATTTCTGTATATTTGGCAATTTCTTAAAATAAATTCCAAAAATAGATTTGATATCCAAATATTGAAAACCTTTTCCACCTTCATAACATTGAACTTTATTCAATCCTGCTGGACTAGACTTTTTTACTACCTCAACCACATGATCCAGACAATCTACTCTGGTTCTTCTGTAGAGTTTTTTTATTAAACCAAAGCTACCATCACATTTGAATTTGGTATGTCCTGGAATCATGAAATTCAATCCAATACTTTTATAATGACCACAAATTACTAGATACAAATAAAATCAAATAGTCACATTATTTTTATTTTGCCCACCAGCATTATCACAAGTGATCTTTTCACCTTTATTCAATTTCTTAATTCCATCAAAAATCATGCTAAGAGCACTGGGTCCTTTTCCTACAATTTCATCTTCATTAAGAACATAATTAACCAGATTGAATTATGGAAATCAATTGGATTATTCAATATGTTCTCTGGTAGTCAGCTCTTTTTATTAGAAAATGTAAAATCAAAAGAAGTTATCAATGATTTAATGAATTTCAAAATTGGTTTACACCAATGGTGTTCAAATACTTTTGAGAAACTTCAACAAACATATACAATACACACCAACAGTAAAGAACTTACAATGTCGGTTTTAAATTATTTGCATGATAAAAAGTCAAGTTTGTTTGAACTTTACAATTTACTATATAAATTTAAAATTATTGAAAAGAATGTTATAAATTTGAATGAAAATAATTTTATAAAAACAAGAGCTTGGAGGTGAATATTAAATGCATCAGGATGTAAAAAATAATGATTGACAACAATAAGGGGTATTGGTCCAAAGCCAATGACACCACAGCTGACTTAGAAATATTACAGCTTTTTTCTGAAATCAATTCAGAATCAGAAAAGTTAGTAGAACTAAAATCGGAATTAAATAAGAATCAGGAACTAGATTCACAAGTAAAAACCTTTTGGTCATGTTTTGATGATTCAATTAATAATAATATTAGAGGAATGAAGGTCAGCGAAAGATCTTATCAATAATTGCAGAAGATTTTACATATGCAAAATTAAAATAACAGCTCAATGTTAGCAATAATTTAATAAGTTCATTTTCCAAAACGTTTCGGGAAGCCAAAAGAGTTTCTGGTCACAACATTGTTGTCTTGTAAAAGATAAATTGTTTTTCCAAAAAAAAAAATTCAATTGCATCATCTTTGTACAACCAATGTGCGCATAAATAAAATTTTTCTTGTGTATGTTGATCAATTAATTTTCTTTTTTCTTTTTTAGAATGTCACCATGTCAGGAAAGAAAACAAAAAGAAACAAATAGAGACATAAGAAATGAGTGAGTGTTTATCATTAAATGGTGGTGGTTATCACCACTTGTCATCACTCTAGTTATTTTATTTAAATGTATCTTACATATATATAATCTTTCCAAATTGTACAGATCTGGGAAAGAGGACATCAATGTGTAGATGAAGTGATTGGTTCGGTAAGTAAACAAGTAAATCACATTTTTTTGAATATGTTGGTCTTTTTGTTATGGAATAAAGAATTCAGCACAAGGAAATTATATTCTCTTCAAATGACAAATTGATTATTCCATTCTAACAAACTTGGATTTTAATAAACTTTCTTTGTATAGAGTTTGGCTCCAAGAGAACTATTCAATGTTGATGCTTTAGCGGAGTGTATCAGAAAAGTTGTACCAAAACTCCAAGACCATTAATGTCAATTGAGGTCTTGAGAGTTTTAAATCAATTGTATCCAAATATCAAAGAGTTTGTTCCTGAAGTCACACCTAAATCAAAGAGTTTGTTCCTGAAGTCACACCTAAATCAAAGATTTTGTTCCTGAAGACACACCAGTCCTTGAAACAGTACCTGAAGTTGAAGAACTTGTTATGCCTGAACAAGTAACTTTTAATAGACTTATCTTTGTTAGTTGGTTCATTTTACATCTTGAAACTAACACATTCCAATTTTTAAAAGTTCCAAAATCAATCAAATTTACATCAAAGTATGTAATTAATAATAGACTAAAACTTTTGTTTTTTTTAAAAATATTTTCTATGATCAATAATAAAATAACACATGGTCTTTTATTGCAATAAAGGAGAAAATATACTTGGAAAAGGGAGAGTCGAACATCGTAGAGCCCTTCATGGTAATATCCAAGGAATAAGAAAACCTTCCTTAAGAAAGCTTGCTCATAGGGGAGGAGTCGAGTGTATATCTAATGTTTGTTATGAATAAGGTTTCTGGTCGAAACTGCTTCTATTAGTAGCCGAAATTGTCCAAATACTTTGGGCAAAAATTATTTTTTTATAAGCCCAAACTACTTTTTGTTATTAGC